GATTCATGCTTGTAGCTTGTTGATCGTGGTTTNATGAGTTTCCCGCATTGTAATAGCTCGTGAGAGTGTGATGCATTTCCAAACGCTGTCGAATCTTGATGGTCTCAATATATTCTAGCAGCGATTCATACTTGTAGCTTGTTGATCGTGGTTTAACCTCACAGCCTCCAGTTGGATGAGTTTCCCGCATTGTAATAGCTCGTGATAGTGTGATGCATTTCATTAAGCTGTCGAATCTTGATGGTCTCAATATATTCTAGCAGCGATTCATGCTTGTAGCTAGTTGATCGTGGTTTCAGGTGACACCCACCTGTTGGATACATTTCCCGCAATGTGATACCTCGTGAGAGTGTGATGCATTTCCAAGAGCTATCGAATCGTCAGGGTCTCAATATATTCTAGCAGCGATTCATACTTGCAGCTAGTTGATCGTGGTTTCAACTCACAGCCTCCAGTTGGATGAGTTTCCCGCATTGTAATAGCTCGTGATAGTGTGATGCATTTCATTAAGCTGTCGAATCTCAATATATTCTAGCAGCGATTCATACTTGTAGCTAGTTGATCGTGGTTTCAGCTCACTGTTGGATGAGTTTCCGCATTGTGATACCTTGTGATAGTGTGATGCATTCCAATTGCTGTCGAATCTTGATGGTCTCAATATATTCTAGCAGCGATTCATACTTGCAACTAGTTGATCGTGGTTTCACCTCACAGCCTCCAGTTGGATACATTTCCCGCAATGTGATACCTCGTGAGAGTGTGATGCTTTTCCAAATGCTGTCGAATCTTGATGGTCTCAATTTATTCTAGCAGCGATTCATACTTGTAGCTAGTTGATCGTGGTTTAACCTCACAGCCTCCAGTTGGATGAGTTTCCCGCATTGTAATACCTCGTGAGAGTGTGATGCATTGATGATCTGACACCCACCTGTTGAATGAGTTTCCCGCAATGTGATACCATGTTAAGGTTTGAATCTTTTCTAAAAGGTGTCGAATGTGTAGCTTTCTTCCAAGTTGTCGTATCTGGTTGAAGTTCTTATTTCAACCATATAAACCAATGTTTCAAATGTTATGAACGAAATGTTTCAACCTTGATAAAACCTCAACAAATTGTCAGATTGTGATGAATGTTTCGAGTCTCTCAAATTTCTTTTTTTTAATCAGCATTCTTGATATGATTCTTACTTTCAGCTCGCTTAACTTGCTCTCATCTTTGTCTTCGTTCGATTATGATGGAATTTTCACGTCCATCAGGTCGCGCTCATTCTACGAAGATACATGGTCTGATCTAGATGAACGTGGTTTCTGGTCCTAGAGCGTATTATAAAGTTATTCGGCCATAGTGATACATTGTCGGTCTTTTAAGTAGGAGCTTGCCCTTTTCCCGTTCTAGCCGAAAGAAAGGCTTTGGCTGGCATCATATTGGCTCATAAGATTTCTGTTGGTTTCTTTATTTGCCCCTCTGACCACGAAGTTGACGCTAACCTGGAAAGAAAGTTGAGGCCTATTTAGCCTCATTTTGTTTCATGGTTTTCATTTTGTTTCATTAATTGTTTTGACTTGAAAGAAGAAGAAAACAGGATGGGTCCATTTCAAATCCAGCAGGTCAGGCTCTGTCTTCGAATTTAAAAATATATCATCCATTCAAGTGATGACATGTGCAGGTTTCGAAACTATAGCAGATACAAAGGTAAATAACCTTTGTATCTGCTATAGTTTCGATTAATTAAACATTAAACATATTTGACCGCTCCTTAAAATCCCTGATTTGCCTAGTCGATGTTTTCTCTCGATTTTCAATTTTCCTGTCTTTCTTAAGCTAATGTGCGCAGATTCCTGAAAATAATGTTTTGCTTACTGGGAAGTACAAACATGGAAGTAAGCCAAGTTCTTGTTGTCTGAAAATACTTTTTATTTTCAAAATCGGCGAAACTGCTGATTTTATTCGTTAGTTAAATTTAGTGAGTTAAATCTTAAATCAAATATATTTATCGAAACTACATACATTTACAAATCTCGTGGTGTCCCATGGGTATTTATGTCATTCATATCTAGTTTGTAGGGCTGTACCGGTGGCCATATTTGGCCGGGGAACCGACAGCCCATTTTTCCCTTATAATCATCGGCCGGTGCTGTGTCGGAGTAGGTGTCGATGTCAATTGTGGTTGGCAGGTCAATGGCCTGTAGAAGAAGTCGCCTATCAACTCATGACTTACATCACATGGCTTCCATTAGGCCTTTTTATCAGTTGGCCTTATTGAATCGATAGAGACCACTTTTTTTCCCGTCCACTGACACACAGAGACACAACAGGTGTCTCTATGAGGCTGTCAGTGGGTAGATTGCTATACATTGCTGCTGTTGAGATCATCAAGTGACGCATCCCTTGCAAAAGCATAACGTAAGTGGAGACGCGATGACTTCCCTTCTTTACCGTCCTTTCCTCTGCCTGTTCCTGTAAAGTGACTGTAATATTATGTGAGAGATTTTTTTTTTTGCGACTGGCTGGCAGGAGTGGCTTTTAAGTAAGACAATGAAGGCCGGCCGTGAACACCCTCACGTAATTTCTATGTCGCTTTGCTTTGGGCAACGGCGTCATAGGCCGATGGCCGATAGTACAACACTGGCGGCCGATACCGGTGTTAGCCGATACATCGACACAACCCAACTAATTTGTAAGGTATGTGATGTTAACTGACCTCCAATCTGCGTCATTCAAATAGTGCGCACTAAGTGCTGTATGGCATACGACATGGGCTCAAGGCCAGACCGAGGGCCATGTTTTTTGTTCATTCTGTTCTACAATTCAACATTCCTTGTATCACGCATTCTGTGGATATGATGTTTACAGGATTCAGAACAATCACCGAACGGTTCATCCAAAGGCACGTGTGCCTTGACCCTTTCAGACCTGAATTAAAGCCACTATCAGAATAATCTTTTTTGCATTTTTGAGCTCCTTTGCTACTGCAATTTAAATTTGTATGTTTTCTATATCGTTTTTATATTTTGTATAAATTTACCATGTATAATATATATGTAATTACGTAACTGAAGATTACAAAACTGACTGGTGAAAGAATGCCTCTGATGGAATTGAGCCATGGATAATGGCTCCCATTGTATCATAGTGTAATATGAGGCGCAAAGTCATGATAATCCTAAGAAATTACCATAGACGCAATGAAAGTAAAATGTCCATTGGAATGGACGCCACGTCTGAAAGGGTTAAATAGTTGTGGCTTTCCGAGGGAGAGAATAAAACCACTCTGCGGCTGGAGATTCTTCTTTCTCGATAATTTCATCGTGGCAGTGAACAGAGTGGCGGTAGACGTCCGTGGATCGAGGACTGGTGATGAAATGATGAAATTGCCTCTATTGATATTATGTTTAATCGTAGGGGAATATTTATCTGCAATTTCGCCATAGTCTGTCACTTTTTATTCCACTCCGTCTGTCCGCAGTATCCATAGCGACTGGACGACTCGACTCGGTACGCATGTACGGCTTTCCGTCTGAGTCGGGGGCCAGTCTGCGACTAAAGCTTCCACTTCCCTTCCGGTCATAGTGGATGACGGATCCATAGTAGACAACAGGAGAGTGGCTGTTCGCGGCCGCTTCGACAGGGGTGCTAGGCGTACGCGTAAAATGCCGCATCTGGCATCCTACACTTGATACTCTCTTCCCGTCTCCGTGCGAACCATCGAGAACATCGTCTGGGCTGGTACTCTGTGGATTGCAACTAGACCTGAAGTTTCCTCCGTGCAGCTTCATATATGTCCATGGCTAAAGATGTCACCATGAGGCTATTTCGTAATGATTCTGAAATGCTGCCAACTTATATTTTTGTGCTCTTTTCTTTTACACTCGAAGTATTTGATGCATCATGTCATTCCTCTTGTTTCACTTCTATTGTCCGTCCTGCATTGTATGGAGTCTACTAAACATATATATTACTCAGATTCAGAGGATTGTTAAAGATTCACGAGAAGAACAAAATCTAGAACATCCTGCTTACCTTTTCAAAACTCCCAATTCATCGGGGAGGGAGTGATCCATCCATCGCAATAAGATTGCTTGGAGTATCTCCATTTCATCCCCTGCCATCTGCTGGATCCACACTACCGCTTTGCTGAATCCGCAAAACGCTACATGGGAAAATGGATTCCGGACCGGGAGACATTGCACGAACGCTTTCACATTGCTTTCACACGCTTCAAGTGCATCACCCTTCACGTTCTTCTGCCGAAGTCTCAATGTTTTTCCACTGGAAAAAAGCTAATATATCCTGATACGGAAAGATGAAGATCCACAAGAAGTGGAAAAATAATCATGCTCCAACCGAGCATCTGCGCAATGCACGACAGTTCTCAACGCATCTGCTACTAAATGGTCCGAGCTCCTAACACGTTTCACTTACATTTCGAGTCACGGATAACGGGATAACGAATGACAACAGGTGTGTCGTCGCGTTCCATCATTCGTTGCGGGTTAGCTGGGGTCTCATCCGGAGAATATTCCTTAATGTTATTTCTCCAGGAACGAATGAATGAATCCATGTTGATGGCTTCCGAGGAGATGCAAACGCCCACTGCTCACAATTTGTGAAGAGAGTGGAATAAGGATACTTGAACTTCGAGTTGAATCAAGAAAGACAAAAAAGAAATGAAACGAGATCACCCCTCGTGACAGCGATGAACTCGTCCCTTCCTCGATTCTCGGTTGTATTAAAAGATCCTGGAGAAATCAATTTCGCCAGTCCCTGGTTTTTGCCTTCCAACTCAAGTCGGCTCCTTTGGTTCTTGCCACACATACAGTATATCGATATCAAGACAGACGTCAACGTCTTATGAGGCTTTGAGAAACGATTGCAGGAACCGTTCGTATTACCATAAATGAATCCTGGAATCTCTGCGCGACCTCGACTCACCGTCTCACCACTTCCATCACTTCTTACCTTCATCGTTGTGTTGAAGATAACTGCATTAAACATGACAGCGTAGGAAATAAATATTGATTTTATTTTCAATTCAGTACTGACATGGAAGATGTAAAAAAAAAAACATAATGGGCTCGGAGAAAGGATGGCCAACCGGTACAACTTTCACGTCGATCTCTTCCCGAAGATCATTGGGGAAAAGAGAATGAAAGGAAGACACAAAACGAGTATGAAAGGGCCTTGAGCAGAGGGGGAACAAAGATGGATCTGCCAGGGAAGCGTCACTCGATGATCGAGGAATCACCAAGGAGAGCCAGGTCCATCCACCGATTCTCCAAAACACCTGCGAAAGACAACAAAGACGATAAAAGAATTGCATGTCGAATCCAGGATTGCACAGATACCAATTGTCTTGAGGCCATCACATGTACAGAGTGGTCCACAATTGTCTCCCCAAAAGTAAAGCACATTATTCAGGAAGTGTACATCCAATTTCAATTATATATGACTAACGAGAGCCAATTCAATATATCTGCATTGTGGAAAGATTCAGCATTCCATAAGAAATAAAAAAGTACCCATATCGTGCAACTAAAGCCTGTAAATATCATAATCCCTTCTGAAACTTGCAATTCCATCTTAAGTTTTGCAATTCATTCATGGTTTTCCATGCATTGCGAGGGATTGTCTGGGTCACGGGTGACCTCAGTATCCTGCAGAAGACAAACATTGCCATTTGGCTTGATAATTTGAAGAGAGCAAATTAGTGTGAGGAAAAGATGGAAATTTCTTCAGTTTGGTCCAAATGTCTCAGTTCCCGATGAGATCATGGAAGGCAATTTATGCGAGGTTTCTGAACCTGAAGAGATTCACAGGCGGGCCTACTATTGAACACTAATGACTTGGTGACTTTCAATTGAAAGGGTGTAACTTTGTTCTAGTTCTTATGGAATGCTGCCATTTTTAAAAATAAAAATATAAGACTCAAACAATAGCCAATTCAATATATCAGTGAAATCGGATGTATACTTTCTGATTAATAAGCTTTTACTTTTGAGGAGATAATTGTGGACCACCCTGTACTTGAAACAGCCACTTGGGCACTTCTTCAGCTCGGAACAACTTGGGAGCATCTGAGTGATCGAATGTGCTTTCCCCACTTCACGATATTCTGCTCCTGAAGATCTTCCATCTCTGCAGGTAAAAATGAAATGTACATTACAAACTGCAATGCATTACAGATGGCCTTACTGTACAGTACAGCATTTTCAAAATACAACTTTTCCATTCGTGTTCGCACATAAACTCATCTGTTTTGCTCCGGTATTCGAAGTCTGAAGCTAGGGATGATCTCAGCTACTCAGACCCAACATATACAGATGAACCTGGGGCAAAAACTGCAGAACGAATTTGAACTATGAGGTACCAATGGACTCTTTTTGTTCTACCAGTATTTTTTTTCAGAGACTCAATAACTGAAATATTGGATGGAGAATAGAATGGAGGTCAAGAACTCATAGATGTGTGGAATCCCCAACGTAGAGCATCAACTATGGGACAAACATTAACAGATAATTTAAGAATGAACTTACTTTCCTGTAAAGCATGCGCTTGAGCATGGAGCTTTCACCTGGAGGCGAAAATTAAAAGTTTGAGGCAGGATATCAGTAGACCTCTAGCTGAAACACAAGTTTCAGCAATTGGGGTATTTATAGACATGCTTCAGGGTGAAAGTGTTTTTTCTGTCTTAAATATTACAAGAGATGAGGACAAATTGAAAACCTTATTTGTTCCACTGCAACAAATCCATTTGGAGCAACAAGATATCTGGGCATGGTAATACAAAGGCAGTTTACCTTCTGAGGGTCTTCCTTAAATGGAATTTCAAAACAGCAGCCACTATGAAATAATGAATAACCTGAGGACTGCTTGGCATAACACAATTTTGAACAAAAAAGAAGAGAGTAACAAGAAAGCAAAGGCTGAAAATGAGTTTGAATGGGATTTCACCACTAAAAGCAATGAAACCAAGTCTTTGAATCAGGTTGTCTCTTAAGCCTCTTCCCACCACAATAATGTTCTATTTCTTGCACCACTTTCCCTTATTCGAATTCCCAAGTCCCAAGTCTTCTGATTCATTCAAAATCAACATGTCTGAGAAATTCAGGTTCTACCATATTGCCAAGTTCCAAGTTAACAAGCTGAATTATAGATACCAGAGTAATCACTACCTGCATTAATTTGAAGTGATTATGGAACATGATAGTCAACATTGGATGGTGAGTTGTGGAATTTGGAATGCCAAAACTGAAGGCTAAAAACTGTCACATTTGAAGACACAGTGAATGGTGAACATTACCTGGCTATGTTTCTAAATTAAGAACTTATTCTTTGATACTCCTGCTTTCTTCCAGCACAACAGGGCTCCAGCTCATTACAATTTTAAAGTGAGACTGGTTGTATGAACAATTTCCTAATTCATGAATAGGGTGCAGAGACCCAAGAAAATGGCCAGCAAGATCACCAGATCTGCCACCTCGTGGGGGCAGTCAAGTCAATCACATATTCAGAAAAATAAGCATTACTTCATTTGAAGTAATTGCTTGTTGAAAAACATTAAACCTGAGGTTCACAGACATGTTGAGTTTAAATGTATCAGACAATTTAGGAAGTGTGGAATCCAAAATTGGTGCTCATATAGAACACCTACAGTGATTCCCCTATGGTAAGATGCTTATGGGACACCTTGTAGATCGTCTTCATATAAAATTGATGCAATGAACCTGAAGTCGGATTCCCAAGTCAATGGGATGAATTTGAGCTCCCGAATACACAGCACAGCAAATATTATGTGAATAGTGAAACTGCAGTGAGAACCACCATTCAAAATTCATAATACAGGGTCTTTCTAAATTAGGTCGCAGTTTTGAACAATTACTCTCTGAAATTAATAGAGCTGTGAATATGAAAAATGTGCCTTTCATTAATAAAGACCTGAAACTTTTTCCAATTACTTTTTTTCACAAATGTTCTATGTGGTGTTCTTGTGTAACATGCACAATGTCCCATCTGTACAAGAGTTCCTCCCACACAAGTAAGCACATCAGCATTAACTTTAGCAACAGCCACAACAATTCTTGCTTGCAGTTAAACAACGATTCATGGTAGAGGGGGTTGGTACACTTGATCCTTGATGAAGCCCTCAGGAAAAAGTCTGGTGGGGTCAAATTGCTGTCATGCTTACTCATGTGAGGGAGCAACTCTTGTACAGATGGGACATTGTGTTACAGGAGGGCACCACATAGAACATTTATGGAAAGTGTAATGGGAAAAATTTTCATGTCTTAAGTAATAAAATGCACTTTTGTTTTATATTCACATTTCTGAGATATAATATTTCAAAATTGCGACCTAATTTAGAAAGACCCTGCATATTTGGCCTTTCCATGCCTTTTGACTTTACAAGTGATTTAATCACCTTTTCTTTCATTTCCTATCAGAGGCAACATTTCATACAACTGTTAATCTACAGTTACTTGCCTTAGGGTTTCCAGTTCATTTTACTACCTTCATGTTTCACATCACTGTATTCATGAGAGTATTGGGACATCTATGATGCACTGTTGATCCTTATTAGCCATATCATCATAACATCAAATAACCATGTTTCACACCTGACATCAACTTTAGCAGAGGAGAGTCAACAACTGTTTGTGAAACGGAAATTGAAAACCAAGCAACATAATATATTGCACACAAAGAGCAAAAGGAGAAATTTGCAACCCTTTGTCACTAGCTACCTTAAGAGAACAATAACCATGTTGTGTGCACACTGAATCACACTGGTATCACACTGAATAAACTTTCATGACACAAGCAAAAGACTTCTCATTAGATAGTACTCATAATGCATGAGACTTTCACGTGCCAATGTTAAATGGTTGCTGATGTAGCAGGCAACTAATATTTTGCATTGTATCAATTTACAGATTTAACGAATTTATACAATTAATCAGAAACAAGCAAAAACTTGTGAAGGTTCCCATATACTGCCCTCACAAAGTCTTGCAACAAGTGCCCACTCATGTCATGGTTTGTCCCTTTCTTTGACCAAAATTCACCTCAGAATCCATCCCCATACCCACCATGGTCAGCCAACTTTTACTATTGCATGACAAGAAGCATTCTTTCTCCATGTACCTTGAGGAAAATACTCCTGTCACTGGCTTCTAAAACCCTTCCCACTTCTTTCATGATACAAAAACTGTACCTACAGCATCAAGAGAAAAGAAAATTTCACCTTCTCTTAACCATTCATCTTTTGAGGCAAATTTTGGAGATATGGTAATCTCTAACAGGGTTTTAGCTACTTTGCACAGCTGAGAAAATAAGTTACCTGATGAATTCATTTTTTCTCTTCTGATGCCATAGGTATTGAGAGTTTGTATCATGAAAATAAGTGGCTAGAGTTTGAGGACAACAGGAGTATTTTNGAGAGTCAACAACTGTTTGTGAAACGGAAATTGAAAACCAAGCAACATAATATATTGCACACAAAGAGCAAAAGGAGAAATTTGCAACCCTTTGTCACTAGCTACCTTAAGAGAACAATAACCATGTTGTGTGCACACTGAATCACACTGGTATCACACTGAATAAACTTTCATGACACAAGCAAAAGACTTCTCATTAGATAGTACTCATAATGCATGAGACTTTCACGTGCCAATGTTAAATGGTTGCTGCTGTAGCAGGCAACTAATATTTTGCATTGTATCAATTTACAGATTTAACGAATTTATACAATTAATCAGAAACAAGCAAAACCTTGCAAAGGTTCCCATATACTCCCCTCACAAAGTCTTGCAACAAGTGCCCACTCATGTCAAGGTTTGTCCCTTTCTTCGAACAAAATTCACCTCAGAATCCATCCCCATACCCATCGTGGTCAGCCAACTTTTACTATTGCATGACAAGAAGCATTCTTTCTCCATGTACCTTGAGGAAAATACTCCTGTCACTGGCTTCTAAAACCCTTGCCACTTCTTTCATGATACAAAAACTGTACCTACAGCATCAAGAGAAAAGAGAATTTCACCTTCTCTTAACCATTCATCTTTTGAGCCAAATTTTGGAGATATGGTAATCTCTAACCGAGTTTTAGCTACTTTGCACAGCTGAGAAAATAAGTTACCTGATGAATTCATTTTTTCTCTTCTGATGCCATAGGTATTGAGAGTTTGTATCATGAAAATAAGTGGCTAGAGTTTGAGGACAACAGGAGTATTTTCTCTATGATGCATAGAGAAAACAAGCATCTGATTGGCAAGAAAGAAGGGAAATAGACTTGCCAGCAATGGGTATGGGGACAGATTTAAATCATTCCCCTGTGAAAAACCAAACCAGATTGATTCTGGGAGAATTTTGGACAAACTATGGCTCAAATCATGACATGAGAGTGCACTTTGCAAAGGTAACAGATTAAGCTGGATGAGAACATAAATATTTCCAAAGATTTCACAGGTGCTGAAAATTTTGATCATGAAAAAGGTATTGCAAAACTTTTGGTGGGCAGTAAATAAAAACCGAAAACTAAAAGATCACAAATATGACTTGCATGAATCAGAATATAGTAAAAGTAATCAAAATCAAAGAGTCAGATAGTGCATGGGTGCATTTCACAGCCAGTATAGGACCCCTGAAACTTCAGAAAAATACTAAATTAGAGAGAGGAGTTCAGCAGGCAGCTTCACAGCAGTTGAGCTTTCCAGAGCAAAGAAATTGGCAGAGTTTCTTCCAGGAGCTCCATGAACAGCCTCCTTGCACTTCCACGTCTCTCCTCCTAAATGCTGCTCCTTCCATTCACAGGGCTGCATTGGCACCTGGAGATAAATATAAAAAGAGAGATTACACTCAATTATCTATAAATGTCCACAACCTTACCCAAGAATTCCCAATTGAAGATTGACACCTATTTGTGGACAATTAGGCAATTTCAGTATTCCAAATGAACCTATTCATATTTTTGACAGCTGGATTCAACTGATTCCAGTGCATTTTACCAGAGTATCTAAGATGGCAGACAATACCAAATCATTCAAAAGATGGTGCCTCTACCCACAGTCAAACCTGCCACCAACAAAAAAATATTTTAAAGGTTGGGATATCTTTGGGGCAGGAGGGGTGGCTGGTAATGTAGTAGGTCCTGTCCTGTGGCAGGTGACCTAAGGTTGGTTTGCAATCAAGTCTGGTATTTATTTCCTAGTGCAAGTGCCAGTGTGCTTGGGAAGGGGGGCTCAAGCACATAGCACTCCTGTTTCAGAATGTGGGATGTTAAAAGATCACCAGGAATGAAGGACAAACCCAGGTAAGTATCTCCCTGAAGTAACTGCAGGGACTAAATAGAGTCTCTCAATGTTATTTGCATGAGCTCACATTAAGAGGGGGAGTGAAAGGGTTTAGATCAGCTGTATTCAAACTGAGGCCCATGGGCTGCAAGTGGACTGTGAAGACTAAATGTACTTCACTGTGAAAAGTAACCCACAATGAACAATATAACCCTGAATGGATATTTACCAAAATTTTTTGAGCCACGGTCCATGAAGGATGTGACCATATGTGGGCCTGTGAGCTGCAAGTGAAAATTTCTTCGAGTACCACTTGTTTAGAGCAGGTGGAATAGCTAATGTTACTGAGTCATGGTGCTGTTATGAACCAAGAGCATCTTACACCTGGTACCTGAATATATCTTTCTCATGCCACAGGATGCCATAAAAGGCAAAAGTGCCTCTGGATGTCCCTAGTTAAAACCATACAGCCCACCTATAATTCCATGTTTCTTGTTTAATCCTTAGAGCCCAAGCCATTTTTACTTTCAGACAAGCAAAATCAAGAATTATGCAATCAATTCATAACACTATTGCAACTTCTTTGAAAAAAACATGAAATGACCAGATTCTGAAGAATTGAATGCCATCAACATTTTTTACTCTAAATTTGATATAATTCCCTTCTATTGAATCTAATCTTAAACTTCTTGCAAAAATTATACCTCACCAACATAGAATAACTCTGGTCACCTTCCCATATTAAGCCTTGAAAATGTATTTATTTTAAAAACCCAATAACCACCACAGAGTCACTCGTGAATGAACTCCTCCTAACCTTGATCAGTTCTATGATCACATGGACAAACTTGGATATAAAAGAAAGATGAAAAACATAATACAGTCGACTCCGCTTAATGGAATAGTCACGGGACCAGCAAACTTTATTCTATTATCCGGAGTATTCCAATAACCAAAACCACTCCTGCTTCTTCACACTTTATCACATTTTTTAAAATGGCTACTGTACGGTACCTCCAAAAAGCGCTTAAAAGAAGCACATAACGCTTAAAAGAAATGTGATCTTCTGCTTCATCTTGGCAGCCAGCACATGACGTTGGACCTTGCTCTCTAGTTGATATATTTCGTCTAGGGCTGACACGCCCGTGGAGTCGACGTAGAGGCGCAGTCGATGAAGAAGCTTAAGAGCTTCACTGTTTGATGGGGGGGCTTCCGTTTCCTTGCCATCTTCCGGATGATTTTCATCTTCATCCGATTTATCTTGGTCTTGCCGTACCATCTGGAGGAGTTCGGCGTCACTGAACTCACCACAAACGTCCACATTCTCATCGCATTCAACATAAAGCAGAAATTCTTCTTGAGTCATTCCAAAGGGTGGATCCTCATCGCTCGCTTGTAGTGTTTCGGACCGTTCGGGTTCCTCTTCAGCTGGTTCATCAGCAGTAGCTGGAAACTTGCACTGCTTAAAGCAGTTGACCACTGTTGTTGACTTCACTTCATCCCATGCACTTTTCAACATATGAATTGCATCAAACAAACTGACAGATTTTGCCATGTCCTTTGCAGACAGGGCTTCATCTTCCTCAAGACTGCTCAAGATCTTCTGCATGATCTTCCTACGGTAGTGGCACTTGAAGTTCTTGATAACACCTGCATCCATAGGTTGAATTAATGACGTGTTGGTCGGCAGATATTCAATCTTGATATTGCTCAGCTTGAGGCTTGCAGCGCTCCCATGACATGTGGCATTATCCATAAATAGGATTATCTTCTTTTTCTTTTTCTTCATGGTTTCATCCAGGTCTAAGATCCACTTATCAAAGACCTGCTGGGTCATCCAGGCATTCTTGTTTGCTTCAGACGGCAACAGGATGTTCTTCAGATGCTTGAAGCACCGAGGATTCTTGCTTTTACCAATGATCAACGGTGCTATCTTGTCGTCTCCTGTCTGATTGGCACAAAGGAGTACGGTTATCCTCTCTTTAGTTTTCTTGCCACCGTGAACACTCTCATTCCGCTTCACAAAGGTGCAGTCGGGAATTTCACGGAAAAGCAAACCAGTTTCATCACAGTTGTATACTGCATCGGGAGAGAAGTTTTTCACTAATCCTGGGAGCACGTTTGTCACCCAGGATGCTGCCGCTTCTGTATCAGAATCTTTGGATTCCCCGCAGATCTTCTTAAAAACCAAGTTGTGTCGGATCTTCCACCTTGATAACCATCCTTCAGAAGTGAAGTCGGGTATGCCTTTTTCCCCTGCCAATTTCATCGCCTTTTCCTTCAGGAGAGCTGCATTGATCGGCAGTCCTTTCAATTGCATCTGCTGAAACCACAGCCACAACGTTTGGTCAACATCTCCTGCCTTGCTTCCCCGTTTGCACTTCCTGTTCTGGTTTCCGTTCTTATATTCCACCTCTAACGCTTCCTTGTCTTTGATGATCTTGGAAACTTGCGGCCGGGAGATCCCGAACTGCCGAGCCAGTTCAGTTTGCGTCTTCTTTTCATCTTGATGGGCACTCAGAACTGCAATCTTCTCGGCCAAGCTGAGGTCCTTCCTTCTCCCCATGGTGAACTCGGAATGAGCAGATCTGTTGCTTAGAGACTCTATTGCCCAGGTGAACTTGCTTCCACTTTCACCTGAGGTCAGGTCGTCTCCACATCTGCGGCCTATATTTACACCCTAATTTCCAGGAAGGGGTGGTTCCACAAAGCATGAGGGTGTAATATAAATAAGCCATTTGTTCCTCAGAAGATAAAGAAAATTATTTTACCATCCAGGAAAGTTTTATTCCTTTAAGCGAATTATTCTAATAACCGTATTCCATTATGCGATGTTTTTTATAATGCGTTACACCCTAATTTCCAGGAAGGGGTGGTTCCACGAAGCATGAGGGTGGGAACTGGGAAAGAGGGTCGGTGGGGATTTTCCAAGAATGTACAAGGAAAAAATAAGCCATTTGTTCCTCAGAAGATAAAGAAAATTATTTTACCATCCAGGAAAGTTTTATTCCTTTAAGCGAATTATTCTAATAACCGTATTCCATTATGCGATGTTTTTTATAATGCGTCCTATGGATGAAAAATCGGGACCGGGCAATGGTATTCCATTAAGCGGAGTATTCTATTAAGCAGTATTCCATTATGCGGAGTCAACTGTACTTAAAATTTAAAAAAGTATGATTTTTCAATAGCCTCAGGTGCTTTAGGTTCATGATTAAAATTAATTTAGTTCTGCCAGTGTCATATGTTATGTGCAGAATGCTATGCAAGAAATCATTTTATCGCTCATAATCCTGAAAGTTGAATCAACTTATTGCCACTGATTTGAACCTTGAACCTGAACACTTCAGGATTTTTTAGAACTGAATTATACTGAGCTTGAACTGAACCTGACAGCTGACAACTTGAGACTGTTTAAAATTCCATGAACTTGACCTGAACTTACCTTCAAATTGCTTTTTGTCCCAGCTCTCTAGAAGTTGCTTTAACCCTTTGTCTAAGTGCAACATATGCTGTGCTTTTTGATAGCCCACCAGCCGGCTCAAAATCATAATTTGACAGCAAAAGTGGAGCATATGGTGCACTTTTCAAGATTCAGTTCAAGCTCAGTTCTAAAAAATCCTGAAGTGTTAAAGCAACTTCTAGAGAGCAGAGGGACAATGCAATTTTTAGATGAGTTCAGGTTCAGTTCATGGAGTGTGAAACAGTCTCAAGGAGTCTTTTCAAGTTTAGTTCAAGCTCAGTATAATTTAGTTTTACAAAAAACTGAATTGCAACAAGATGATTCAACTTTCAGGTAGATGAGTTCAGGTTCAGTTCATGGAGTGTGAAACAGTCTCAAGGAGTCTTTTCAAGTTTAGTTCAAGCTCAGTATAATTCAGTTTTACAAAAAACTGAATGGCAACAAGATGATTCAACTTTCAGGATTATGATGAATAAAATGATTTCTTCAATAGCATTCTGCACAACTTATGCCCCTGGTAAAACTAAATGAATTTTAATCCACTTGGTTTTTGTGGAGTCTCATAACTTTTTAGACTTAAAAAAATAGAAATTAAAAGGGAGAACTCTTTAAAAACCACCACGTTTAAAAATCTTCTCCCCTTACTGACTAATTACCCAGACCACAAGGGACTTCACTGGTACAAAGCATTCCTAAAACATCTGAACTCGGGCAGGATGTGATCCTCCTCAATGACAACACTGATGGATCTCTTTAAGATGTTGCATTTGGGTCCAGATATCTTTAATGGCTCCATTTTTACCTAGTCTTCCTTGATCCAACTGGTGAATGAGCTGCAGTAGTTGTTGATAACAATGGCTCCATGCCTAGAAGGACTGAGATAAAACTTAGCAGAAAGAGATAATTTGTTAACTCCAAAGGGTTGTAGATGGTCTCTCTAATGTACTAAATGTTAGCGCCACACATAATGGTTCAGCAAAACAGATACCAACTGGAGCATCATTCGGAGCTTTGTCCAGAACCATTCCTTCTGATGGATCTAAGCCCCATGTAACTCTTGAACTCCAAAGTCTTGGTTGTGACATCCTCTGTTCATCCTGGTCTTAAGACCATCTCCAATCCCTGTGGATGTCAGTCAAAGAAACAGTCAACTCACATGACACTCTAATGCATAAACTTTCCCAGTACAGTCAACTACCATTGTAAAAAACATGGATATAGCGAAAACCTGATTTATAACGAAATTCTAGCCTTTGCCCAGTTGAATGTCCATAGACACCCATATAAGAAAAAAACTGGATATAACAAAATTAGTTATAGTGTAATTTTGGTTATAACAAAGGATTTCTTATGTCCCCATTAAGAAGGGGCATCAGATAAAAAGAACTCTCCTTTAAACCAAGTGAAGGATTATTCTAAACCCCCTTTTCCTTTCTTTTTGTTCTCGCCTGGGAATGATGGGTTCAAGTTCTTATCTTAATCCTTCACCTGTACCTGTCCCTTGACTATTAGTTATCACCCACATCTGTCCCACAGGGATTATTAGCCTATCACATTAACCCTCATCCGGGCAAGCTTTTTTACAACCTATTCCAGGCAAGGCGAGTCTGTCAGCCTCACATGTAAATCTTGACTATTAGTTATCACCCACATCTGTCCCACAGGGATTATTAGCCTATCACATTAACCCTCATCTGGGCAAGCTTTTTTACAACCTATTCCAGGCAAGGCGAGTCTGTCAGCCTCACATGTAAAATAAGGCCGTTTGCTGCGGTTCCAGTATGTATTTCTTTGTATTTTTGAAGAGCACGAACAAGGTGACAAAGTCACGAAAGCTCATTTTTCTACGAACAAAATGACAGCAATAGACCGAAATATGTTGTAGTGATTCCAGTGGACTCACCTTGCCCGGATTAGGGTTAAAAAGACACCTAACACAGTATCCCTGGCCTCCTAAACTATAAATTGTGTAGAGGACTTTTTGGGTCATTCTACATTCTGAACTTTGCTCATTCATCAGAGTTTTCACGGATTTGTGGTCCAAGTTCATGTGTTCACTATATCAGCGGCTGTGAAATGACACATCTGGCCAAGAAGAGGAAAAGCATGTCTATTGAACTGAAAATAGACATTCTGCAAGAAGTCAAGAAAGAAAAACTGAAGAAGGGTGAGATTTCCGCAAAGTACGACATCCCACCTTCAATGCTACCTTCCATCGTCAGCACAAAAGAACAAATTTGCATGGAATTCTCCAATGCAAGCTTTGCTCCAGGAAGAAAGAAGTTGAGAGGTGCAAAATATGGTTAATGAAGAAACTTTATTTGAGTGGTTCCAGCAAGCATGTGCCTACAACATCGCCCTTGATGGGAACTCAATTTGGCAGAAAGCAGCATAACTGGCGAAGGTATTGGGGATCGATCAATTTGAGTGCTCTTCTCTCTCTTCTTTCTGGTTGGCTCTCTTGCTCCGAGGACACACATGGTATAGTGTTCGAGAAAGTTTGTGGGGAAGCTGGAAGTGTGCCTGATGAAATTGTCAACAAATGGAAGAGACTCAAAAGGATTATATGCAGCCATTGTCCAGAGGATTTTTTCGACGTCAATGAGACACGTCTATTCTTCAATCTCACACCGGAAAAAGCTATGTAGGTAACTCGTACTCTGGAAAACATAAACAACTGATCATACAGATTAATTCCTTTGTAATCCCCTAGGCTTTACCTGTGCCTTGATTTCTGATCTTCTGCACTTCTCTCCCTTCAGCTAATGAGCAAGGAGTACAGGAATGGCATAGGTGGTAAGAGGAGCAAGGAGTACAGGAATGGCATAGGTGGTAAGAGGAGCAAGGAGTACAGGAATGGCATAGGTGGTAAGAGGAGCAAGGAGTGCCTTACAGTGTTCCTGTGCACCAACATGTCAGAAACAAAAACTGCAACCATCATCGACAAGTTCAAGAAGCCTTGTTGCTTGCGAGGTCTGTTACATCTGCCTGCAAATTACCACCACAGTAAGAAAGCATGGATGACTACACCTCTTTTCCTGGAATTCCTCTGATGCCTTGATGCAAAACTAGGATGCAAGGGAAAGAAAATTCTCCTCTTCGTCGACCATTGCCCTGCCCATCCACTGGGCTTCACAAAGCTAAGAAGTGTGGAAGTGGTGTGCTTTCCTGCCAATTCAACGAGCCAACTACAACCCCTAGACCAAGGGGTGATTGCTTCATTGAAGCAGAAGAAGTGGAAATGACTCATTCATTCTCTTCTGTGGCACTTATGTACAAAGGGAATGGACCATGGATTACCAAAATGGAATGTGCTTGATGCCACACACCTCGTCACAGCATGGAATGACGTCAGCTGGAAACTCTTTTTTTTTTCTTTTGAAATTCCAGCTTCTCATGTTTTACCCTTCTACAGATAAGTCCTGATGACATAGCAAACAGCTTTGGAAAAGCAGGCTTCTGCCATGACGAATCTACACTGGAGGAAACTGATGTTGCTCCTGCAATGGAGATTGACGATGTCTGGGAGCAAATCGCCTCTCAGTTGCAAGCAGACTGTGAATTTACACAATTTGTGAATTTTGATGAGGACATTCCCACGTGCAAGCCGCTTCCCAATTCTACTATGTGTGCAGAAACTCACGGAGCTATGGAGCAAGAAGATGCTGTCAATGAGGAGGAAATGGAAGAAGAACCCTAAAATTTGCCTCAGAATCTGTCTGGTTTGGTGGAACTATTAAAATCCATCCCCATACCAATTGTTGGCAAGCTAACTTCTCCTTTTGCATGCACATCATCCAAGAAGCATGTACAGTAGCGCTCTAAAGTATTAGCACGATGTGATTTTTCGGCGTATATCAACTGAACGCTGAGAAAAAGCGTTCCGACTGGAACACAACATGACTGTTTCAAACTGATCTTCGTAGTTTGAACACAGAGAGATCGTTTTGATTTTAAAATCACTTTTTCATCTATTTTCTGTTGGCGTCAACTGTGCACCTGTAATACGAGGTCTGGCAATAGAGTTCCCGGGCTGATTTTTTTGTGAGTCTGTCAATATCACAAACATTATTTTCATTCCATGGACTGATAGATTAGACTGT